CATACTAAAGCATCATAAATAACTTGAATTGGCAAATCTAGACAAGGTTATGGCTCCTAGCTGATGGATGGAAAAGGACAAAAGTACATTCTTTGTCTCATTAAGAAAAAGCAGCCTAAGTTTAGTTCCATTGAAGTAAACAGAACATGTTAATTATGATTTTAAAGACAGTTACTTTAATGGAAAGAACATATAATTTTGTAATCTGGATGCAGTCTTATAACTCTGCTGTGAAAAAGAAGCTGCCAGATGGGAGTTTTTCAGGTATCACAACTACTCAGAAATAAATATACTGTATTAAGGCTTAAATGAATTCAGGTTTCAAATTTGTTGATACAGCTAGAGAATTGATGTTAAGAACTTCATTTATTATACATTTGCCTACAATACATCCAATCAAAATTTTCAGAATCCTATTGAGAATGGCCAGCTTGAGGCAATGCAGAAAATTGCACTATTCACCAACACTATAGACCTCCTTCCCATTGGATTCCAGATGAATCCACTCAGATCCTCTTGCATTGCCAGCATACATCCATTAGATATATGCAACTGGGCTTAAAATAAACTAAATAATTGATAGTTAGTTGATACGAGCTTAGGTCTCTCTGGTCCTAATCAAACATAATAATCAGCATGACATAGGAATATGAGATAAAAATAAACCAAATGAACTTTTGAAATCACAAATATATCTACAGTTAGCCATATTACACAGAAAAGAAATATATATATATATATATATATATATATATATAAATGCCCTACCTTAGCACATGAGCCAGTCCCTCCATCCTAGTTATCATGAGAACAGCCCACAAGCCATAGACCAAAGGTGTAGGAAACAAAAACTCATTTTCCTGGTTTAAAGCGAACAGCCAGAAGGCAGCCTGCCATTTTTACAGTCAGCTGGTGCTACCCTGCTCTAACATGACAAATTGGCATCCCCAGTGTGGCAGCAAAGTAATCAGACTGTGACAAATGGTTTACTTAAAGCAATTTGTTTTCATCTTACTGGAAATTTCCGTAGTCTTAACAAAGGGATTTTCTTTTCCTTTCTTTAAATGGTGTTTGAACACTGCTAAAAATGTAAAAGAAAATGAATATCTAGAGTTATTTTATTTTTGGTAGCCTTGCAAATAAACTGCTATCTATGAAGAAATATGTATAGTCAAAAGGGTAAAGGGCTAAGTCATATTTTAACAATTTGCAAGTACTGTACCTACAAATACTTAAGGCTCAGTTTGCTTTGAGGGATGCTGATCAATATTTAAAGTTCTTAAAATAAGTTTTCAGAAATACAAAACTTGTCTGATGCTCATAGGTGATTACCTCCTAATCACAAAGGGGTATGGATAGAGAATTGGGAATTTCCTTTGTGCCTCTAGTTTGTTCTCACTTCCCTGCCTCCTTTTGTTCTCTTTGACTCTTTGTCTGATCCTATATATTGTAGCCAGATAAGACCTAGTTTAGTGGATAAGAACATTGTAGGCAGCTACTTATACTTGATAACTTATCAAAGTTTCTTTTTCTGAATGATGAATATTCAAATGGATAATATGAAGTATAATTGGGTTAACTGGCTGCCCCCTCTTTCAACTCTTCCCTCACTGATCATCATCTAAATCATATTACAGTTTCAAGAATAATTAAAATCTCCCAACTACAACGATAGATATTTATTTTGAATATTGCTTTCAAATTTACAATGGTGGTAGCACTTTATTGACCTTGGTGATCCCTGAAAAGCTAAGCTAATGGGATGTGTTTAGCATTCAGCGGTGAAATCACAATTATTTAGGCTAGGCAGAGAAATTCAACAACATCTTAAGAGAAAATCAATTTTTGCAGTGGTGTCAAAAAATCTACATGGATATTTCCATGCAATCAGGTCTCACTTGAAGGAATCTATCTTCTTGCACTTGTATCTCTTGAATGAACATATTCAGAAACTTGAGGTAAAATGTTTATCTGATTTTTACTGCTTTTATCAAAACCCAAAGATTATACTTTGTGAATAGAAGGCAAGCCACAGATATATTCCACCTTCTACTCCGAAGTCCACCTCTTGGGTCAGTTTTCAAAGCCTGCAGAAACTAGGAGACAATAAGTAGCATGGATGAATTCAAGAACTTCAGAGTTATCAGTTTTAACGAGTGGCAAAGAATATAGACACACTTCTTTTCAAAGTAGGATTCTCAAGAGGATTTTTGAAAATCATGAAAATTCTCCATTAGTAGAATGACAGAAGATAGAAACCATGTAGGAAGGCTTATACATCACTGTCAATCATCTTAGTCTTTCCCCTTAGCAACCCAAACTTATAATGTCATTCTTTTGCACTGTATGCCCCCCTTTTATTTTGTGTGTGTGTGCCTTTAGATCCATGTCAGTTCCTGATGGCTGCCTGGACTAGGTCCTGAAGTTGTCTTGGCAAGATTTTCAGAAGTGGTTTGCCATTGCCTCTTTCCTAGGGCTGACAGAAAGTAACTAACCTAAGGTTACCCAGCCAGTTTTGTGCCTAAAGTGAGATTAAAACTCACACTCTTCCAGTTTCTAGTCTTAACCACTATACCAAACTCTTTCTCTACTTTTTCCTTATATATTTCTAATTAGATTTTAGTAATTTTTTTCCTATGCATATTGAAAAATGTCATCATTTAATGTTCAAATGAGTGAAAGGTCACTGAATGGATTGGCTTGTTGGCCTTGTGTAGGATAATACTTGTGTTATTGGCTAATACAAGAAAATGAGTTAACAGAGGTTATTATTGAAAGAAGAATTTCTAATGTATTAGCAGTGCAATAATGCAAGAGAAAATTACTGGTACTAATTTGACCTCCAGGAAAATATCTAAGAGTATGTGTGCCTCTTGCTTACACTGAATAATTTATCAGCAGATTAAATCTGAGGTTTTTTTCCCCCATAATGTACTGTTGGTTTGTAGCTGAGATGTTTTATTGACTATGCGTCTCTATTAATCTGATTGATGTAGATTGTTACAATTGTTGGCATTCAACTAAGTGTCTCAAATAGGTAAATAAAGTTAGATTTACAACTTCATAGAAAGATATTCACAGTTATATAAAACTATACAGGAAGCTTAAATCCTTAGGGAAAAGAAGGAAAGGAAAGGAAAGGAAAGGAAAGGAAAGGAAAGGAAAGGAAAGGAAAGGAAAGGAAAGGAAAGGAAAGGAAAGGAATTTTTATTTTGTAATCAAGAGCCATAGGGGAAGGAAAATGTCGCCAACTACTTTGAGCTGTCAACAACTACTTGTAAGCTGCCCAGAGTCATTTTATAGGGGAGATTACAACAAAAATTGAATAATTAAAAATAAACAAACAAACAATCAGGCCTTCTATTCATTACATTCCCTACCATAACTCTCATGAACAACAATCTTTTTACTTAAAAACAATACAATATTTCCCAGTAAATTCTATTAGTTGTCTATAATTACTCATTCTTTTAATTGCATTGAGAGATTGAAATTTAAACTTTAAAAATCATATCCTAGAGTCTTTTTTCCTTTTTAAATTTAAGAAAGAGGATTATGAATGTTTAACAAATAACATAAGATGGCAAAACAATTGCTTTCTATTTATCATACCAAGTATATCCCTGGGAAGAATGATGAGAAACTGCAGCTTCAATTGGTTCAGCTTTATCAAAAGGCCATATTTGTTTGTATGACATTATGTTAAGGAAAACTTTCGTTTTGGTGCTTCTTGACTATAGTTTTGCCAACTGCCATATCCCTTAACCCCTCCCCCCCCAGGCCTTGGGACTGCATGACCCCATCAAATATCTAATTGTACCTGGAGATTGCTGCAATCTCCTAAACTCACTACAGATCTGAGTTTTTCCCATTTTTTCCAATGAAGTTTGCTTTTAATCAGTGTACAAGAGCTACAAAATGTAAAGAGTCAATTCTTCTTGCCAAAAAAAGGGAGGTGGCTCTGGGAACTAATATGAGAACTTTGGGTGAGGGGGTGGAAAAAGTGATTTAAGGTTGATTAAGCTGGTGAGTTTGAAATTTTGTTCTCTTTTGATCTGGATTGTTGCAAGCAACTAACATTTATCTCTGAATCTGTGCTTTGAGAAACATTTTCAATTTGACAGGTTAAAGGAATAGAGCCTTATAATAGAAGTAGGCAACTCCTAAAATTCTGGAACCTAACATTTGCCATAAATTAATCCAGTGCAAAGCTATGATGGCTTGTTGAGAAGAAAAGTAACATCCTGTTGATGAAGACAAAGAAAGAGGGCTTCTGCACTTTTTCTTCTTTCTAACTCTATCATCTGGCCTTTTGCTGTTGTACATGAAATCAATCTATCAGAATAGAGCTGGAAGGAACATTGGAGGTCTTTTAGTCCAACCCCCTGCTCAAGCCGGAGACTCTATACCATTTGAGACAAGTGACTGTCCAGTCTCTTCTTAAAAGCCTCCACTGATGAAACACCCACAAGTTCTGATGGGAAGCTGTTCCACTGGTTAATTGTTCTCATTAGGAAGCTTTTACTTAATTCCAGGTTGCTTCTCTCCTTTAGTAGTTTCCATCCATTGTTTCTTGTCTTGCCTTCTGCTGCTTTGAAAAATAAGTTGACCCCCTCTTCTTTGTGGCAGCCCCTTAAATATTGGAATACTGCTATCAGGTCAACCCTAGTCCTTTTTTTCTCTGGACTGGCCATACCTAATTCTTGCAACCATTCTTCATATGTTTTTGTCTCCAGGCCCTTAATCATCTTAATTGCTCTTTTTTGCACTTTTTCCAAAGTCTCAACATCTTTTTTTGTAATGTGGTGACCATGTGATGACCATGATAACAAGTTGAAAGTGAAAGACATCCTAAAATTTAACTAGGCATCAGTTCGGTTGAATCTTTTAGGTTCTAAAACCTAGTGAAGGTCCACACGTATGAAGTTCAGCACAGATTTCAGAGCTGCCTTCAGGCAATTAAGAGCAATAATTATTTCCATTTTGTTCCCAATTTTCAGTTTACATGTCGCTGTAATACCCAAAGGACATACATTCCAATTGTCACTGAGGAAGATCTGAAAGCTGTGGAGATGCACAAAACAGAAATTCATTTCCAAACACAAATTTCGGTGAGTTGGCTCTGATAGGAATTATGTGTAACTACACGAGAATTACACGAGAGTTATCTATGTAACATAAAACATGGCAATGCTCTTGACTAAAAATTAATGTCAAGAATAGTCGCCATACAGGATCTTTGGTCATTCTGTGGAATGAAAAATTATTTATAGACAAATATCAATCCATTTTAATAGACTTTTCAATTGTTTCAACTAAATTTTAACAAAGTAATCATTACTTTGATAATCAATTTGTTAAAATTTAGTACATAGTATAATATTTTTACCATAGTAATAGTGCATATTACTATGCATATCTATTCAGAAGTAAGCCATGCATAGTCTAATGAGACATGTTTGGACTAAAAGAGTATATAATTACCATTCGGTTTTCTATTCATTATACTTATTTATTCATTAAATCTGTATCCCACCTTTATAACTTTATAAGTAACTCAAGTTGGCAAACTTACTTAATACTTTTTCCTCCTCCTATTTTCCACAACAACCATTTGAGTAGGTTGGGCTGAAAGAGAGTAATTGATCTATAGGAATGAAGGTTTTTGTGCTTAATTTTAGCTCAACATTTTGAGCTCAAATGCCGTAAGAATAATTCAGGTTGAAATGGATTGTGTTTAGAGAAAGTTCAACAGAAGGCCATTCCTAATATGCCACTGATGTAATTTTTTATTTGCTGCAAAGTAATATACTCATTTGATTTTCCTGAATATGCCATACAGCAAAATCTGACACAGAGGCTGCAATTTAAAGTGGTCCCACCAAAACCCTTTTCATTCAATTGTATTAACTATTACTATAGTCATAGTAACCCAGCTAAATCTCTAAAGAAATATAGGAGCTGTCCCTGGTCCTGAGTCTGACTCCCTCAGCTCTTCTTTAAAATGGGATCCCTTTTACTTCTTGTAGAATTTATTCTCATCAGATTTGCTGCCATACCTTCCACCAACAGGGGAGCAATAAGGGGCTATTTCCCTATTTCCTGTAATTATGAATATTTTACAGCTTTTAATTACTCATATCATTAAGAAACAGCAGATGATTAGTATAACAAAACAGGTGCAATTAAACATTGAGCTACTGAGGTGCTATACATTTTGAAAGGACAGCATATACTAAACCAAACCAACCCCCCATCTCACCCACTTGCAAGTGCACTCACACAACTTTGTCTAGGCAGAGTTCTCAGGTAGCAAGTGTTTGCTCCCACCTGAATAGGTGAGTCTTCAGTCTCCCCTTTTCCGGCTGTCCAGACTCCAAATCCTCTCTTTGACTTCCTGCTGTCAGACTCCACATAGTCCATATTGGCTGATCTGCGAATTGGCTCTGGCATTTGTTGCATAAAGATTTGGCTCTCCCCTCTTCCACTGCTTGCTCATAACTTGTGTATTTGCCAATGGACGAGGGCTGATTGCCCTGCTGTGACTTCAACAGGCATTCCTTTCTTCTTTTTCTCTCTCCATCTCTACCCCAAAAGTTGATTTTCAAATGGCTCCCAGCCCCTTCCTCAGAATTGGTTTCTTTTCCTTTCCTTCTACTCCCACCACCACTACTTGAGATATGAGTATGTGTTGAAATAAGACTTCTTCAGACTTGAGAGATAGTACCATTCAGGCAATGTGCTTGGTGAGAGATAGAGTGACCCAAGAAGCAGAGAGCATCTCTAAATTAGCAGGAATGCAAATGGTGCTGGAATGAAATCTGAAAAGTAGACAAAGAACTAATTACTCTGCAAAAAACAAACCAACCCAGTAGTGATATAGAGATCTGAAAGGAGGCAAGAATCTGTAGAAGGACTTGTTCTATGCATCTTCATTTTGTGCTTAATCTATTTAGTTTAATTTGTTTTGACTTAACCTGCTTAATTTTTTTATCTGATAACTACAATTCATATCATAATAAAATTAGAATATAATGTGTGGCTGAAATACACCAACACCTATTGTGCATTTATTAAAATGCCCAAATGTTTTTACTTTGGTGCCTTCAACTGATGACTGACTGTTTGGATAAATCCTTGCAATCTATTGTGAATCTCATAGGAGTCAGCTATGTTTAAAATCTTTTAAAAAAATAGCTGCTGTATTTTATACCGCAATGTGATGTCATTTGCAGTGTGAAATTTCAATAGCAAATTTCAGACAGATCTAGTTTGGAGCAAATGGGAGAATAGGAACAAGATGTAATAATGCCCCTTCTTAAATATGGTACAGTTGATGTTGTGGGACTGAGGTCAAGAGGAGATCGAAAAGATTAATTCACTGTCCTTTTCCATACCAGAAAAGATGTGTTAAGTCATTCACCTGGTGAAAGTAGCTTGCAAAAATTGTACTGCAACTGCTAAATTTGAAAGACTAGGACACAGTATAGTAAAGTGAATGGTTTTTCCAGTCTAGAATCATTAAAACCTCAATGCTCGTCATTTGAGAGACAATCATATTTAGTGAAATTATTCTTAAGAACTCATTCTTAAATTGAATTAATGTCAGGAAAGGTTAATTAGAGAAAATTATATGTAATGTACTAATTATTACAAAATAATTAGTAAATTCTTTAATTCTTCTATTTAAATTTTGGCTTTATTCAACTTTTTTTTATTATCTGGAAGGTTTATTTTAGAAACTTAAGGAACACCTTCACAGGTCTTGGTTTGATTTCTGAATAGTCCTGTACAAATAATCATCACTGAGCTACTTTTACAACATGCTTAAATAATGAATATAAGGTATTACTGCTCTATAAAAAGTATTATTTTCTCAGACCTTGTACCAGTTATATCAGCTTTGTGCTAAGAACCATAAAATGTATCTCTTAATAAAAAGAGGAAAAAAGATTATATCTGTTCAATTAGTTGAAAGATGAATCAGCATTTACATTGTGGTGTTCTTGATGAGGGGCACAATTAAAAATAAAGGACTGGGATTAATAAACTCCAACTTTTTCTTTGCATCACTAAATATCAATCTTTGCAGCCTTTAAAGGTACCTAGTGATCTGTAAAATAGTGACATTTGAGGCTAGGGAGGGATGAAAATTATATGGCATTTGGCAGACTTGTTAAACATGCTTTAGTTAATATTGGTTTATGTACAATCTGCTGAAAGTAGCAGCTTCAGTAATTCAGAAACTAGAATTTCACATAGTATTGGCAGATTTGAGGATTTAAATGTGTTTCCCCTCTACAACTACAAAAAACCCCAAACGTATAAGTACGATACAATAAAAAGAAAATTGTCAAAAAAACTTGCATTAAAAACTATTTTAGAAATATATTTATTAAATGATCACTTATTATGTATTTATTTTGGTATACTTACTGTGTCACTGACTTCTGAGGTCTCCCAGTACAAAATACATGTAATAGAAATGTAAAACCCAGAAACAAACCAGCACTGAAAAGCCTATTTTGAAAGTTGGGCTTTTATAGCCTTTTAAAAAGTCATTGAAGATGGGCTCCTCACCTCAAAAATATGTATTCCAAAGTGGTTCCAGAAAAGGTCTAGCTGCCAATTCGCAAGTTTCCCCTGTTCCACTAGGACAGGCCCCACAACTTTATACTGTCAGACAGATGCCCAACGAAACAATGTGTGAAGTACGATCTTTGTTTAGCATCATTTCCAAATGGGTTGTTATCTATATAGTAGAGCAGCTGCATTCTATTCTAGATAGCCTTGATTTCATGCCACCAAATTGAAATAACAAAAACAAAGCCATAATTTCAGGATAAAAATCTGGAAATATTGCTTTGGAATTTCAGTACTGAGGGATGAACAAATGACAATCTAATCTTTAAGTATCTCATTGAAAGCATGTTTTGGTAAATTTAATGGGTCTCATTTCCTAGTTTTTGATCACATTGATAAATATTACAAGATTATTATTTGTAAAGATCTGCTTGTCAAATAAATTTCCTTGTATGAAAAAGCATCTTTAATTAAGGTCATTGAAATGTAATTTCCTAGCAGGCATTAATTTGCTTGAAGAAGGTTGAATGAAGAAATATTTCTACGTATCTGCTGCAGCCATAGGAATCTTAGTGTGCTCTTGTTCTATTTAATATCTGAAGATCAATAAGGCACAGCACAAAGCCTCATTTCCAAAAGCTGATTTTGCAATCTCAATTGGCTTATATAGTGTACATCCAGAAGCTTTCTTTAGTTCCTGAAAGCCCTGCTCAAGATTGCAAAGGGACACAAAATGCCTCCACAAGCAGTCTCTTTGTTTCAATGGGGAAAATCAAAGTCTCCTCTCCTCGGTCTGTCATTTTCTTAAGATAAACATTTGCAAGCATAAAAATATTATCTCACCTTTTCAGAACTGAAAGTTTTGGTACTTGCTATATTACATTTCCTTTCTGAACACAAGGAAATGACTTTCATAGCTGACTTGAAGTTCCAGATTTTAAGACTTATGGTTCATTTCCTTGTTAGCAGTGATAAACTGCTTTACATTCTATTTCAGATTGAGGTAGACTATTTACATAATGCCAAATATATTTTTTAAAATTAAAAAGATCAGCAGGCGATTCTCTTTGTTTTACTTAAAAGGACCTATAATAGTTCAAATCATCTAAAAGATTTAAAAATCTTCAGGATAAGTAACATGTTTTTAAAGACTATTTATATTGAACTTGTCACTTAGGATATTACAGGTAATCCTCAAGCTACGAACGTAATGGAAACTGCCAATTACATTCGTAACCGAGGATTCGTTGGAGTGAATTAAGTCAAAGGAACGTGATCACTCCCTGCTTTCGCCCATGCATTCGCTAATCAAATGTGCGGGTTGTTAAGCACACACGAGACATCTCAGGATATGGAAGGCCATGGGGAACCTAGCAAAGGAACAGGCTATTCTATTTTATTCCAATAAAAGTAATATAACAACTTTGTTTCTTCATTCTTGTTATGGAAAATAGCTATCATTAATTTAATTTTGGTAATGGTGCCTATAACATTAATTGTTAATATGGCTGCCAAAAACACAAGATTG